AGCAATGAGAAGGTAGGATAGGTCCAGGGTCTGACGTGAGGCCGTCCTGGACGAACTGTCTGGAGAGAGCGTCCGCCTTAGCGTTCTTGGAACCAGGGCGGTAGGCGAGGTGGAAATTGTAAGGCTCAAAGAATAAGGCCCAACGGACCTGCCTTGGGTTGAGCTGCTTGGCAGAAAAAATATGGATCAGGTTCTGATGATCAGTCCAGATCGGAAAAGGGTCTTTTGCTCCCAGGAGCCAATGCCACCACTCTTCTAAGGTCCACTTGATGGCCTTCTCAGTCTCCGACACCGTACCGTTGCTGCGTGGGAGAAAACTTCATTGAGAAATAGCAGCATGGGTGAAGTTTTCCATCCAGGCCATGTTGAGAAAGGACGGCGCCAGCGCCAACATCGGAGGCATCCACCTCCACCACAAAATCTCTGGCAGGATCAGGGTGGAGCAGGACGGGGGCCATAGTGAACTGGTGGATAAGGTCTTGGCATGCCTTTTTTGCACCTGGGGAGAGGCAGAAGGGCTTAGGCAGGTTAGCTGGTTTGGTGAGGGATGTCAATGGGGCGACAACGGTGCTGAAGTTACGGATAAAGCGCCGATAGAAATTGGCGAAGCCCAGGAAGCTCTGTAGCTGCTTAAGGCTGGAGGGCTGAGGCCACTGGGTCACGGCTTGGACCTTTTGCGGGTCCATGGTCAGGCCATCGGAGGAGATGGTGAAGCCTAGGAAGGTGGTGGACCGCTGATGGAAAGCACACTTCTCCAGTTTGCAGAACAGCTGGTACTCAAGCAGCCTGCTCAGCACGGCCCTCACATGGCGAATATGGTCCACTTCGGTGCGGGAGTAGATCAAGATGTCATCTAGATAAGCACCACCCACCGGCCTAGCATATCCCGCAAGACATCGTTGATCAGATGTTGGAAGACAGCAGGGCTGATACAGAGACCGAAGGGCATCACCAGGTACTCCGAGGGGAGTGATGAAGGCCGTCTTCCATTCATTCCTTTCCCTAATGCGCACCAAATTGTAGGCGCTGCGTAGGTCTAGTTTGGTGAAGATGCAGGCCTGGGAGAGGGAATCGAGTGCGGTGGATAGCAGAGGAAGAGGATGGCGGTTCTTGACAGTGACTTTATTCAAGCCCCGATAATCTATACAGGGGCGGAGCCCGCCATCTTTCTTCTTGACAAAGAAGAATCCAGCAGCAGCAGGAGAGGTAGAAGGGCGAATAAAGCCCTGTTGGAGACTCAGCAACTTACTCCTCCATGGCCTTATTCTCTGCGGGTGACAGAGAGAACAGGCGACCACGAGGAGGGACCGCTCCCGGGAGGAGCTCGATGGCCATGTCGTAGGAGCGATGAGGAGGTAGAGTAGAGGCTCGCCTCTTACTGAAGACCTCAGATAATTCGTGGTAAGCCGGAGGGATCTTATCCAGATCAATGGATCTGGTGAGGCCTCTTCTGACTTTGAGTTCTTTTGGGTCCGAGAGAGAAGCCAGCAGCGTGGACACTGGGGACCCCAATCCAGGATCTGGCAGGAAGACCAGGAGATGTGGGGGTCATGTTGACGGAACCAGGGGTATCCAAGGATGAGAGGAGAGGACGTGGCCGAGACTACTAGAAACCGGACCTCCTCCTGATGATCTCCAATAGACATGCAAACCGGCTGGGTCTGGAACTGGATCGGGTAGGGTTGGAGGGATCGCCCATCTACTGAGGTCACCAGGAGGAATCGATCAACGGAAGATAACGGAATGCGAAGTCGAGAGGCTAGTTTTTGGTTGATGAAGTTCTCAGTGGCTCCGGTGTCCAGGAGGGCTTCAGATGAGAACTGTTGGTGTTTCAGGTGAAATATTACTGGTAACAGAAAACGAGAGGGGTCAGAGGAGTGGGAAGGGCCAGGTGGGACTTCCCCGCAGTCTACCTGGCGTCGTCGTTTCCCGGACGTAGCGGGCACTGGGGACAACGGTGTCGAGCTGATCCACAGTAGGCGCAGAGACCCTCACGCCAGCGTCTCTCTCTCTCCTCTTTGGAGAGTCTACCCAGCTGCATGGGCTCCTCACTGGATGTACTGCTTGGGCTAGCAGCGGCTCCTTCAGAGGGGGGAGGAGGCTGCGAAGACGTGGCCCTCTGAGGCTGGAAGGGTTTGAAGGCCCGAGGGGTGTGGCGAGGCCGCGACATCACTTGTTGGTCGATCTTCAGGGCGAGGTCCACGGCCTCATCCAGAGTTTTTGGGGCCTTACGGCCGGTCATCTCATCTCGGATGTAATCAGCCAGTCCCTCCAGAAAAATGGAGCGTAGAGAAGCGTCTCCCCACTTTAGCTTAGCGGCCAGGGTAGGGAATTGGGAGGCAAAGTGACAGACGGGTCGACTGCCCTGGCATAAATGAAGCAGCTGTGACTCCACTTCCACTTCACTGCTCGGGGGAACAAA